ATGTCATACTCACCTAACGTCAAATAGCCTGCTGCTGGGGGCTTCAGTACATACATCGACTGACAAATAGCCTGACTCGCAGTGGAGTGCTGCTACATCGACTGAGGGTTTGGTATTAGTCAACAACCTTTTCATTCATTATTCTTCGTTTTCCCTCATCGTTTTCTAAAAACGCTCACTTAATTTATATATATATATATATATATATATATATATATATATATATATATATATATATATATATATATATATATATATATATTATATATATATATATATATATATATATATATATATATATATATATATATATATATATATATATATATATATATATATATATATATATATATATATATATATATATACAATGTTTGATAACAGTGTAACTTTCGGTTGTAAACCATTTTAATGAAATTCGGTTCTAAAATCATTAATGACTTTCGATCGAAAATTCGATTGAAATTTTTTTCGGTTCTAATTTTTTTCGTAAATATTTTCAGTTGTGTAATAAATTTCTCATATTCGGTTCTAAATTGAAATTAGGGATTCGGTTGAATCATAGGACGCCCATATTTAGATGTTTACATAGACTTTCGTTTAGATAGATAAAATACAAATCATTACGGATTGTGGTTCCGAAATAAAAAAAGTTAATACACTAATGTCCATAATTATTGGAATGGTCATATTTTTTAATATCAAAGATATCAAAGTTTGGAGAAAAACTGAAAGCAATATCTACCTGAATTATATGTTATCTTCCTATTTATTAGGTTTACAAATAGAATTATCCTGATTAGTTTAAAATCCTGATTAGCTTATAATTTACTTGTCTATTAATTACCCTTAACAACAATAACCGCCATAAATATATTAATAAATATATATAGATCAGCCGTGGCGCAGTGGTAGCGCACTTGCCTCAGAAAAGTAAGATCCGTGGTTCAAACCCCACCTCTGGGTAAGTTTTGCGACATTGGTTGGGAAGGAGGCGTGAACTTCCTATTAAATGCTCTTCCGCGATGCTCTGTGATAAGACCGCAAGGACTTCTTGGGGCACCTTAAAAATTAAAAAAAAAAAAAAAATAAAATAAAAAAATATTCTTAACATTCTACTTAACGACTTATCTAATTAGTCTATTTTATGTCACGGCCGATGCTATTCACACGGCCGCCGTGTTCCAATTCTATAAAGGCTATTCGCACGGCCGCGAATATTTTTGAGAGGTATTGGCTTTTTTAAGTTTACCACTCAGGCTTGTAAAATGGTTTCATAGCATTGGGCCACGATAGGAAATGGCAAAGCTCGCGTGTTGTATTGGTTTAATGTTTTATGAAAAATATTTTCAAAAACCTTCGGCGTTATTTTTGACTGATGTTGAAACATAAATTGTGTTATTCTGAAAATATTTAATTCATTAATATCAAGTGCCCTCATGCTTTTTAGAAGAGGTTTAGCATTTGTGAAGCGATTTTGAAAATAAATAATGCGTGCTGTATGATTCTGTTGTTTAAGGAGACAGTCGAGTTTAGATTTATTTGTACTACCCCGAACAATATTGCCATTAGATAAATAACTATATATGAATGCAAAATATAGTTGAGTTAGTGTAGATTTGTCTATGATTGGTCTGGTTTTATATAAGATGCCAATACTTCTTGAGATTTTATTGCTAATATGTTTAATATGATCTCTCCAGGATAAGTTTTCGTCCATTAAAATACCAAGTAATTTATTTGTGAATGAGCGCTCAATTATGATGTTATTTATATATAGCATTGGTAAGGATTTTGGAATAGATTGAAACTTTCGTTAGAATGGAATAAGGAAAACATAGTTTTATCAGTGTTTAAAGGCTGTTAGCGATAAGCCAGTTTGATATTTGTTCTAGTTCATTATTTGCTACTTGAAATAGAGAGATAATATTACTGTGAGAATAGAATAAAGTGGTGTCGTCTGCAAACATAATAGTAGACATAGTATTTGATGCTTTATATAGATTGCTGACATAGATTAAGAACAGCAACGGACCTAAGATGGAGCCTTGTGAAACACATGATATTTTAAATTTGATTGTCTGAAAACCATCATTTAGAGAAACAAACTGCTTTCGATCAGTAAAGTAACTGGTACACCATTTATGGTATTCGTGGCTTATTCCATAATATTTTAGTTTTTCTAATAAAATCTGATGGTTAACGGTGTCAAATGCTTTTGACAAGTCTAGGAATATACCTAAGGTGAACTTATTATGAGAAGATGCTCCACTGATAACTTCAACAAGTTGCATAAGTGTATGTTCCGTAGAGTAATTTGATCGAAAACTATATTGGTTACAATAAAGAAGATTGTTATCAATCAAAAATGCAAATATCCTATTATACATGATAAGTTCGAGGATTTTTGAAAATAAAGGTAATACCGATATAGGTCGATAATTTGTAACCAGACTTTCATCTCCTGATTTAAAAATAGGTGTAATAATTGCAACTTTCATTTTATCTGGAAAAATACTTGTTTTAAGCAATTTATTAAAAATATCTAATGAAACATCTTTAATAAGTTCAAAGCAGTCTTTGATTATGCATGCTGAAATAGAATCATAGCCTGTTGCTTTATTTATATTTAATTTTTTTATTGAACCATCAAGTTCTTTACTAGTGAGTTTTTTAAATGCTAAGCTTTTATCCGACTTCAATAGATAGCTCAAGAAATGTGCAAGAGTGTGTTTAATTTTGCTGGCTAAGTTTGGACCAATATTTACGAAAAACTCATTAAATTTTGTTGCCACCGATTTTACATCAGAGATCTGTGTGCCATCTTTAGTTCTAACAGCTTGTTTTCGAAGTATGTAGTTCTAGCTATTTTTTTATTTCTTTCATATAGACGTTTGTGCTCAAAGTAATTATGCTTATCATGTTCTTTCTTTGATTTAATAAAACGTATATATAGCTTTTGTTTTCGCTTCGAAGACTTTAAAAGGTTTTTATTGAACCAAGAATTAAGAAGTCCTTTAGTTTTAATATGGATTGTTTTATTAGGAAAATGCTTATCGTACAAATTGAAAAATTTATCTAAGAAAAGGTTGTAGCTGTTATTAGCATATATCTCGGGAAAAACAAAGTTCCAATTTACAGTCGATAGCTTTGTTTTAAGATTTAATTGATGCTTTGAGAACCATATTTTTGTTATTAACGTCTTCAAGCTCGATAAGCAAAGGATTGATGATTCCTTTAGATTTAAGACTTTTGCTCCATCGCACTCGATAGCACTAAGTAAATTACTTACTTGCTATCTGTCATTTTCTAGTTTTTCCGTCTGTGAAGAACATTGCGTAGTTTCTAATCCATAGATGATGACGTTTGTTACTCTACGTTTTAGGTCTTTACATTCCTTTGTGGTTTCAAAAAGAAGAGATAGTTGATCATTGGTTTTTTTGACAGCCCCTGATACGACTTTTGACCACGTAGTTCCACTTGTATCAGAATTGACTTCTTTTGATTTTTCCATTTCTGTAATTATACTTTTTAGTTGCTTGTTTTCTTTAACACATTCCGCAACCTCGGATTTTAAGTTTTTTATTTCATCCTCGAAAATTTTTATAAATAAATAATAATTTAATCAACCAATAAATTTAATAATAAAACTAAACAAAGACCTAATACTAAATTAAATAAACCATCATCAAATATAAAAAGTCTTCGTCTTAAGTATTTTTAACCTCGTTTACCAGGATAAAAATAAGAAAAATTTGTTTTGAAAAAATAAATTTATTGCTTAAATGATTTTTTTAGTTTAAATTGCTTTTTTTAAAACATATAAGAATGAATAAACACGTAAATAAGAATGAAGAAATGCGCTTATAAAAATGAATAAAGGCGCATATAAAAATGAATAAAGGCGCATATAAGAATGAATAAACACGCATATAAAAAATAATAGACGCGCATATAAGAATGAATAACCCTGTTAGTTTTTTCTTCATTAAGTTTCAGACAACTTTTTTTTGAGACCATCCGCAGCTTATTAGGACATTAATAACATAAGTGTCTCAATCATCATACGTACGCAACAAATTTTTCTCCCGGTGATGTTTTTTTTTTAATGTTTTATGAAATTTTAGCTTTCTTAAAATCTTATCTTTTGTGAAAGTGTATAATATTGTTACGTTACATATGTTTGTATATAATCTTTATAAAACTTTAAAAGTATTTTGTATTTTACTTTTTCAGAAGCTCGTTGCTTTATCCACTCGGCCACACTGGCACATACTCAATCGAATATTTTAAAAATGTAATAATTTTTTTAAGGGAAAAAATGTTATTGATCAAAATTAAGGAGAGCTTGACGCAATCCAATTTTCAAGTGAAAATCAAACTGTAAAACTTGATAAATGTTTCAGAATATTTTAACATTACTTAATTCAAAGTTTACGTACGTTAGATATTTGAATACGCGTTCGTTCACATTTTCTTATAAGACAAAAAGCTGCGGTTTTTCTCGCCATTACTTTGCTTTCAATTGCTGCCAAGGGTACCGTGTCAAAAAAGCTCGAAAGCGCACTACTACTACTACTACTACTACTACTACTACTACTACTACTACTACTACTACTACTACTACTACTACTACTACTACTACTACTACTACTACTACTACTACTACTACTACTACTACTACTACTACTACTACTACTACTACTACTACTACTACTACTACTACTACTACTACTACTACTACTACTACTACTACTACTACTACTACTACTACTACTACTACTACTACTACTACTACTACTACTACTACTACTACTACTACTACTACTACTACTACTACTACTACTACTACTACTACTACTACTACTACTACTACTACTACTACTAACATTACTATTAAGTTCGGAAATAATATTTAATAGATTACATGAAACTTGAAGCTTTATTGAAACTTCATTGAAACACGATACTTCATTTCATGAAACATGAAACTTCAAAATATCAAAAACTAGAGATCGTCAACAATCTGTTGACTAACTTTTGTTATGTTAAATAGAGACCAAAAATAAGCAATTATTTTACTCTCTGATTTACAAAAACTCTGTATGTAGTACTTAAAGTGGATAAAAAGCAATGGAATAGTATTTAATAAATTTGAAATACCATCCTGTCTAAGCATGGTTAGATTAAAGATGAAATAAAAAGGTAATTATATGGTTTGAATTTTTTGAAAAGATTTCAGGATGGCATACTACCTCTTTTTTACAAATTTATTTATTAATTTTTAACTTAATTTATTAACCTAAGTTAATTAATTTTTTTTTTTTTTAATTCTGTTGTGTTAAAAGAATGACAAAGAACGGAGCTTTTTTGTTTTTAGACTTTAACTATCACAGTGTATCTATGTATATATAATATATATATATATATATATATATATATATATATATATATATATATATATATATATATATATATATATATATATATATATATATATATATATATATATATTAAAATAAAGAACAAAAACTATAAATGAAATAAAAATACAAAAGCCCCTTTTACTCCCGCGTGTGAAAGGAAATAAAGAGAGAAGATGGGAAGCGGTTGTTACCAAGGTAGTGTACGCGTGAAACAAAAAATAAAGTAGAAGAACTATTAACTTGATTTTTTTTTAATTAAGTGTTTAATTCTTTTATGCACAAAATTTAAAAATGCACAAAATGGTAATAGGTTGTTTTGCTTCACAAAGTTAAACATTTTAACTAAAAAACAGAAAATTTTTTTTATCTCTAAAGTTGGTTTTGTTGTCTAATATTTTCAAACTAAATAAAGATGATCAAAAGTAAAAATTAATTACCACAGAAGAACTCTTAAGGCTTATACATTTCCTTCTATAGTTTCGTGAAATAGCTTATAGCTAAGAAGTTTACTACTTTTTCGATTCAGTTTTTGTACTGGTATAAACAAACTAGGCTCAGCAGATCAAAGCATTTCTGCTTTTTGCTTCTTAGACCTGATCTTGAAAATAGGAATTGTGCTGAAACTATGTTGTCATTATTGGGGAGAAAAAATTATAAAAAACGCAAACAAATAGATCTGCTATGTCAACATAAAGCAAATATTTGTTTAAGCTTGATTTCAATGCTAAGTATAGATATTAAAAATAAATCAACCACATTGTCTTATACATTTTTTAAGATAAAAATTTCTCTGTTATTAAAAATAGTTATCCAAGTGTTATCTATCCCGAAATTGTATATTTTTGTTTCCTTATAGTCCTCTAACTAAGTTTGAATTAAAAGCATATAAATTCTTTGAATCAATTTGGGTTGGGTTAGATTATCAATATGGTTGTGAAAGTATTTGAAAAATATGTTTTTACTTATGACAGGATAGATTTATATAAATATTAGATCTATATTCAAACAGAAAAAGCTTAATTTTATATATTTTTTGATTTTGATTTTAATATTTTAGCTGAAACATTCTTAAAAAATGAGTTATTGTTTCAGAGAAATAAGTTAATATAGTTTGTGCATTGTGTACAGTTAAAATTAAAAATTTTAAGTTATGCATCGAGAAAAAAAGTCTATTGGTTACTTCTAACTTTTAGAATTATACAATACAAGTTTGTTGCTGATACTGCTTTTGCATCTTTTAAATGATTGCAACACAACTCAATTAGTAAAATAATTAGAAAATATAACACCGAGAAAAATGATTTTTATTACAACAAAAGAGAAAAAAAGGTTAATTTTTTTAAACCTTAGTCGATGTGGAATAAAAATAGCTGCTCATTGAAAAGATTCAGCCATTCTTTCAACCACTCCAAGATTTACTTGAACTTATGAGCCAACAACAACTGCAGATCTTAAATCATTTTTCGATTTTTACTGGAACAACACAAATTTTTTAGCTATGAAAAACTCTTTAAAAAGTATAATAACAACTTGAGCAGAGTAAAAATTCAAAAGGTGAAAACATAACTTCATACAAAAACTAAAATCTGGTTTTGCTTTAGAGAAAGTCGTAAAAAACTGGTTTAAAATTTAGAAATTTACGCAGTACCAATATTACCTATTTACAATTAAATAAAAATGACGGAAATTATGTTATGCGACTTTCTTGCATCCAATGCTTCCTATCAAAAAGAACTGAGTGGTGGGAGAATCATCATAGTTATAAACATATAAATGATCGGAGTTTGTTCCATATCTGGAAGTTAGTTATCTCAGATACCAAAAAATGCTGAATATGCCCTGTATACAATATATTTTAATATAATATAATTAATATAATATTAAAAATTTAATCTTAAAAATTTTCCTAATCATCATACTTTTAATGAATTACCTTTTATAAACCATTCATTCAAACCATTAAAAACAAGGGAATTAAAAAAACTCTTCGGTTTTCTTCTCCCCTAAAAGAGGGTCACCTCCCCCAGATCCAGGCGCCGCACTGGCGCACCCCCTGTGGCTGCGGCTATCGCAGGGGACCCCGCGCCGCACCATCCCCCCATAATAAAACATATTGAAACTGAAAAATCTACATCTAAAAAATATTATGTTATTTCCAAAATTAAGTTATGAAGGCAGAACACAAGCATTATTTTCAAAAAACAAAAAATTTAAATACTGTAAAAACATTAAATTCCTTTAAGTTTATAATAAAAAATGAAATTTTTAAATTAGATAAATAGTTTTCTTGATTTTTCGAAATGAAAATCGAGTTCCATTATTCTTAGTTTTTTTACTTGTTAATTGGCTCTTATTTTGATATTTAACAGAGTTCCCAATATATTTTAATGAATATTGATATAACTATATGATGTTATTTACTTTCTTGATTTAATGGAAATATTTATGAAAGCTTTAACCTTTTTAATATATTGGAGATACTATTTTTTTAACTTAAAAAGCCCACCTAGGAGCTCTATGAAAAAACTGTGGTGACTTTAGTCATCCGTATCTTCTTTGAGCCCCTGCCTGTTTTTTATAAATTCACTTTTTTTGTATGTAAACGTTTTTTTTTGTAATTATATTTCTTATTATATAAGCAGCAAATATATATTAAATAAAATAAAAAAATTACAAACCGTTACAAAAACGTAAAAAGTACTGTAGAATGACATCTAATTATTTTGAATAGAATACCATAGTTTGTAGTATTACTATAAAATAAATATTAAAGTATTGTATTGTCAATTGCTCAAAAATTGTTTTATACAATCTATTCAAAATTACTAATCAATCTTTTTATCTTGAATTGCCAATAGTATTGCATTATAGTAAAGTATTATCAATATAAATTACCAATTCTCTTTTCGAATTTAACTTCTATCCTATCTATTTCTTTTTTATTCTAAACACCCTCACAAGTTGAACTATTTAAAATATCCATGAAAATTTTTAAAAATTTTTCTAATATTTATCAGATTCTGGATAAGAAACTTATTCCAGAATCAAGATAAATTGGAAATTCAGCAAGGCAGATATCCATTCAATCCTGCTAAAGTGGAGATTTGGAGGTTTGTTAATACTGACTTGACTGTTTTAAGAAATTTAGATTTCAATTCACCTCCTATTCAGCACACATACTAGACATGGTAATTCCATTTTTTGACACAAAAGTAAGAGTAGCTGCACAAAACATTTTCAAGTTTATTTTCTTTTGAATGTTTCACTTTGAAAGATCACAAGGAAAACTTCGCTAACAATCTATCTGTGCGCCTTTTGAACCCTTCAAAAAATGAGGTAGGACGAACTTCTAAGGTAATTTTAACAAAAATTAATTGTGAACTTAAAACTTTTTTTGAATCAATGGCAAAGTACGCAAAATGTTTTAGACTGGTTTAAAAAAATCACCAATAAGCACTTATACAAATTCCTAGTTTTTGATGTTAACGATTTTTACCCTTTCATAAAGGAAAGCACCCTCAACAATGCTATGAATTTTGCTGACCATCATATCGTTATCAAAAGCGAAGACAAAGCATTAATAAAGCATGCAAGAAAATCTCTTATCTTCAACAACGATAAAGCATGGATAAAAAAAGAGGTGGGTTGTTCGATGTAACAATGGGGGCATTTGATGGTGCTGAAGTTTGCGAATTAATAGGTATTTTCATACTGTATCAAATTTCACAACATTATAATAAAAAAGATTTCGGCCTATATCGTGACGACGGTCTTGCTGTATTCAAGAACAAAAACGGTCAGCAAATGGAAAAAATCAAAAAGCATATAACACTCATTTTAAAAAAAAACGATCTTTAAATCACCATTCAATCTAATTTAAAAATTGTTAGCTACCTCGATGTTACGTTAAATCTAAGTAATGATACGTTTCAACAATATTTTAAACCTGATAATCAAATAAAGTACATCCACTCTAATTCTAACTACCCTCCAAGCATAATAAAAGCAATCCCTCGCAATATTGAACAAAGATTATCTTCCATGTCAATTAATGAAATATTCTTCAAAAAGGCTATTCCACCGTATGAAGAGGCTTTAAAAAAATCGGGATACAAATGGAACCTTACCTACCAACCACAAATAATCTCAAGTCAAAATCAACAAAAAAAAGCAACGTAAACGTAATATTATTTCGTATAACTCTCCGTTCAGCTTAAGCGTCAAAACAAAAATAGGAAACCGTTTTCTAGCCCTTATTGACTTACATTTTCCAGCCAGTCACAAGCTACATAAAATATTCAACTGAAATTCTATTAAGATTAGCTACAGTTGCATGCCTAACCTAAAATCTATCATAAATTCGCATAATTTCAAAATTTTACACAACAAAAATCAGTTAAAAACCAACCAATGTAACTGCGTAGATAAAGCATTTTGTCCTTTGAACAATCAATGTTTATTTAACAATATTGCCTATCAAGCTACCGTAAGTTCCAGTCATCGTGTACGTAATAAAAAAGTATATTTTGACATTAGTAATACACCATTTAAACTAAGATACACAAGCAATCTCAAATCATTTGCATCAGTTAAATATAGAAATGACACAGAACTATCTTAGGAAATATGGAGCTTAAAAGACCAAAACATAAAGCCCATTATAGAATGGAAAATTGTCAAACGTAATATATTAGGGTGGAGAGATTTTAAAAAATTTTTAAAATTTGATTTGCCTGAGCTGAAAATTGAGGTCTTTTGGTTAAAAAAGAACCTTACTTTTTTTTTTAATTTAGATGATTTCTTGAGGTTCCTTTTTGGATTCTAAATTTCTGACAGGTCCTATATATAGTATGTATAAAACTTATATAACGTATATGTTAGGGTGAAAAATATATATGAAAAAAAAAAACATTGTAGAAAAAGCTAATTTAATGCGTTTTTACTCGTACGTCAAGTCCAAATCTACCTGTCCAAATTCTGTTCATACGCTTTGGGAAGTGTTCTTTATCTGTTACCTCGTATTTATTTCGTCCCGACACCGCGATAAATATTGTTAACTGTATTGATGATATTGGAATTATTGTATCATCTGATACAAAATTCTCCAAGCATTGTTTTCGTATTGCAAAAAAAGCCTACTCTCGTCTTTACCTACTTTTCAAAACTTTCATCAGTAACGATCCTCATCTCTTAGTAAAAGCCTACAAAGTCTATGTGGACCAATTTTTTGTACCCAGTGTGGAGCCTTTATCTTCTAAAAGATATTCGTTGTATCGAAAATGTTCAAAGATATTTCAGCAGAATTACTAGTAAAAGATTTTTCTTATTCTGATTACGTATCGAGACAAATTCTTCTAAATCTCGATTCTCTTGAATACCGTAGAGTTAAATTTGATTTTGTTATGGAATACAAAATTGTACACAATCTCGTCAACTTACCTTTTTCCAATCTCTTTACCTTTCTCAACTCTCACTACAATACTAAATGTCACGTTAAAAAACTTATATCACGCAATATATGTACAAATGATTGTCGTAATATATATATATATATATATATATATATATATATATATATATATATATATATATATATATATATATATATATATATATATATATATATATATATATATATATATATATATATATATATATATATATATATATATATATATATATATATATATATATATATATATATATTTATATATGTAAATCCATTCCTTTTAAATACAAATCCATTGCATTTTTTCAAATTTACAACGATTAAAGCACAGAAAGAAAAGTACCAAAAAAAAGTATCCTCTTGGTTTAAAAAAGATATCAGTATTTTTAAAAAATTGTTTTGATAGGATCATAATTTAAATTCTAAATTAAATCAAAGAATTTTTTGAAACTTAAAAGATGCATAATTATGCATTTTTTTAAACTTTATGGAGTATGTAATACTTCCAAACTTTATGTAGGGTGCAATCAAAACTCAAGTTTGGAATACATACTACATAAGGTTTGGAATCGCCTGACCTTTTGAGGTAATAAGTTGTGTTATCAGAAAAAATATGCGCAAGTTTCTTTAAAAAATATCTTTTACATAATAATAATAAATAACAAAATCTCCATAGAGAAATAACTCTTATTGTTTATCAAATTAACTTTTATTCTGTCAAAAATCTTTTGTAATTTAGAATGTGGCAACAAATTGTCATAATTACATAAAAAATTTCTACTATATTTTGGTATGGAACCTTTTTCTAAAAGAAGATTTCATATGATGGTGCGTTTATAGTTTTTTCTCTCGGCTAAGTTTGAATTTAGGTAATATACTAGGTTAATATTATAAACCATTTTTTCTAATCCATTACTGCATTGCACTAAGAGGTAATTTTTATTAAATCATCTGGCAAAATGTTCTTAATGAACTTGCAATGGTTCTTAATGAACTTGCAATGGTTGCAATGACCTTGGGGAGAATGTATATTGAATCAACATTTGTTGCATTTAGGATAACTCACCAAGTATTGATATAATACAAATATTATGACGATGCATATATATTTTTTTTATGTAACTCATCTCCTCAAGGTCGAGTACGTGACTACAGTTGAGGAGGCTAATTTATTGCGGATATCTCCTTTTTTAAACTCTTTTACTCCGACTAATTAACAACTCTTTGACACAAACTTGACGAACAAGGTCGTTCGGATCGAACTCGGAACTTCTTGCTTATAAAGAGAGCGCTATACCACTACACCACTACCTCAATTCATTGTATTAACCAATTAATACTAATTTAACTTAAATACCAACTTTAATTTGTTAGATAAAATATTTTTTAATTTCTCTTGAAAATTTTCCTACATGCAGTAAACTAAAATTAAGTTTGACACTTGTCGTAACTAGAAAGCTTGATCTATTGGTATTTTTTTAATTCAATATTAAATTTTAATTTTAGTTTTAATTTAGTGTAATCAAACTTTCATTTTATCATTTTTTTTAAAGAGATAACACAAAAAAAGCACTCTTATTTTGTGTTATCTTTTTTTTTTAATATGTTCTTAAGGTAGGGTTCTTGTGTGATAGATGTGTACGAGTATTGTAAACCGTCAGTATAGAGGTGTATAGAGGTGTATGTAGCACATCTTCGTAATAATCTTTATTTAAAAAAATAGTAAACATTTTTTTGTTTAAAAAAAATTTGCAGATAGTTGTAATATTTTTAAATTATTCAATTTAACTAAAACTGTTTAATTTAAGAAAAAATGCTTGAATTTTTAATATTTAAAATTTTTTTTAGAGAAATTAAAGTTACAATATTTGATATACAAGACAAATATGAAGTTACGAAAAAAATTGTGCGTGTGCATTATTGTTATTTTAATTGTCGTTTTTGTTGGGGTTACCTGGAAAAAACTCGATAACAAGTTTAAAAATGACAACTGGATAAAACTTCGTAAAGATCACATGATAAATTATTTTAATTATTCGTACAAAATACAAAAATCGAACTCAAGTGCTTGTGTGTTGCCATCCCTTAATGCATTTAGTCCCGATATTTTGAAGTTTATGAAATCTACTTATTTGAGTTGTTCAAAAAAGCGTTACGGTAAAGTTACAACAGATGGATGGTTTATTTTACCAGCATCAGGCATTACTACTGTTAGTATACGCTATATTTACAGATACAATCCTAATAATATCTATATAAACAATGATTTTGCTGTGAAACTGTCAGATCCTACCTACGTTAAGGAAGAGAATGGTTAAGTACTTTCTTTAAATATAACAATTATTCAATGATAAGTTTAAGATAGATAATGATAACGTAGCAATAGTAAAAATAGATAACAAACACTTGCATTTGAAAGTCCTTAACTTAAAATCCTTAAACTTAATTTTTATACTAACAAAAAGGCAAAATGTTCATGGTTTTTCAACAGACGTTTAAAAACTGTACTAGATTTTTTGTTTTTTCAGGTGTGTTTAGACATAAGCTAGCTAGTGATTTTATTAAAGTGGATTTATATTATAAAGGGATTCGCCATGTTGAGTTCCATGCTCATGTCAGTTCTCAAACACAAAAGGCATTTAAAAAAAATGCAAAAAGGAGACAAGGTGAGCAATAGATTTTTAAATTAATTTTTGTTGTAAATAACCCATAGATATAACTAATCTAATGCTCTTAAATGGTTTTGTTGAATTGTAATTTTGCATACCTGCACTCATTTTCTACTTTGTACCTGTTACTAAGAAACAAGAATTAAGGTTGATGGTCAGGTTGATGGTCACCCAGGAAAAAAAGTTCTATAGAATTTTATGTAAACTTTTGAAACATATGGCCTATAGAATTTTTATAGAGTTTCTGTTAACTTCTATAAAAATTCCTATTGAATTTTTTTTTCTATTTTTTTTTTTATAGAAAAAAAAGTTTTAAAGCAATTTCTATAGAAATTAATAGACATTCTATAGAAATTCTATAAAGTTCTATAGGCCATATGTTTCAAAAGTTTATAGAAAATTTTATAGAACTTTTTTTCCTGGGCAGGTTAATGTTCAAAGCAATAAAACCAGTTAATTATTTCTAAAAAGTCTGAGTTTAACCGGATTAATTTTTAGCACTTGGTATATTCGGCACTAATTTTTACTCTTCGGTATTCGGCCAAGTAGTTCGCAATTTTCGACCGAAAATTTGTGATAAAAAAAATCCATAATATATAGTATATTATTATATCACCATATATTTATATTGTTATTATACCACCATATAAATATATTATAATACATACTATAACACATATAGCGATATAATCAGTTACAAGTTGTAAACTATGATAGATAAAAACAATTTTTTTGACATTTGATGATAGCAAACAATTTTCCTCGTAAATTAAACTTGCTCTTGAAAATGATATCAATGGTTTTATCATTTGTAATATAGTCGGAATGTTTCTTTAAATATATAATTTATTATGTCATTTTTAGCGTTTCTATAATGTTTTACCATAACACTATACTTTATTAGGCTACGTTGATAATTTTTATTATTGGTATATGTTTCTTCCAGTCTGCAAAGTTTCACGCACGGACACATGAATAATGATCTGAACACAAATAAACACATAACCCTGCTCATGACGGATTCTGAAAAAAAAAAAAAAATGTCCTCACAAACCTACTGTAAACTCGCAATGTCCTGACAATTTCATTTCTGATTATTTGTTATGTCACTTCTTTTCGTCCGAAGTTGAGATGAATCATCGTGGGTGCTACGTATTACAACTCTTTCTTGGAGCTTCTAAAATAATTTTCGGTTTTACTCTCTGAGTTTTACTTACCAAGTTTTACACACGGGGGGCTTTTCTTTTAAAGTTTTTCATAATTTTTTTATTGTATAATATCTTTAATTAGCATGCAAGAAAATATTGGTTCTTATGCATTAATTTAAGCAAAAGATATATAGAACCAGTTATATAGAATCAAAGATGTAATAACAGGGATAATATAAAAAAAAATTGTATAATAGCAGGTTCTTCCAAGGGGTCGATTGTTTTTTAATAGCGGTCAAATATTTTTAACACGAAAATAATCCTAAGCGCAAAACAAAAATTATTGTCAAATATCTTATTGTCAATATCGCCATATTAATTATCTTAAGCGCCAAATGAAGAAACACCAGCCTATAATTGATATATTTTTCGGGGTATTAAAAACAGATTGGAAAGCGATACCTGTCAAGTACTTAAAAAAAACTAGTTAATAGTATGCCCAGTCATGCAAAAGTACTCATTAAATCAAAAAAAATCTAAACTTGCCACTTAATAGTGGTTGGATAGCTAACTTGGTTAGAGCTTCAAATGAATTGATAAATTCCGGACCATTGTGCGATATGAGTTCAAATCCAATCAACGCCAACTCAGTGTTTGAGAAGTATTTTGGTACGCAAAAATGTTGATCAATTAGAAGTGCTACTTTGGATTAGTCTTTATGTTTATTTATGGCTGTTCTTATGCTAAGCCAACGATATCTTCGGATATACGAGGATTGTATAACAAAATATAGCATGAAGTTCAAATAAATAAACAGTAATTTTTATGTTTAAGCTCTGTAATATTCAACCTCTTTGCACATTTATTACTTTTAAGGTGTAAATATTTTTTATGCTGCAGTAACTAATTTTAATATTTAAATATGTTGTTTTAGCACCGTTTAACGTATTCAATTAAAATGCAATTCTTTCAAGTAGGAAGTTATGTCTGTGTGAGTTATTTGAAATTTCTCTAACAATGACATGGTTGTGAATATTGTTTAGTTAGTTTCCTACACGGCAATTTGAAAAAAAGTAGGTGCCATATTTGAGTTTAGGAACTTGACTTCATTAAAATTCAACTTCATTAAATAAACTCTTAATATTCTTAAAACGAAATGAATTATTTTCCATCAAAATGACAAAAAAGTTATACCAAATGACATGCCACCGCCTTTTATTGATAACATACTTCTAAAAAAAGTAACCTTTCTTGGTATTTATATTGATGAAAATTTGTCATGGAACAAACACATAAAATTTGAGTAGTAAAATATCAAAAAGCATAGGAATTTTAGACAAAGCAAGGAGTTTTTTAAATAAACATACATTACTTAAACTATATTATTCGCTCATTTATGGTCTCATAAACTATGCAAACATTGCGTGTGGTAGTACTAATAAAAGTAAAATGGAACCTCTTTATCGTCAACAAAAATATGTTGCATGTCTGATTGATTTTTTAGGATCGATTTACTCATGCCAAGCCTCTATTAATTGAAATAAAAATTTTAAATGTATATGAGCTTAATTTTTATTTTTAACGTTACATGCTTTATGTTTAAATGTAAGAAAAATATTTCTCCAGTACCTTTTTATAACTTGTATAACAAAAAAGAAAAAACTAAATACATTTTACAAAATGAAAACAACATTCTTCAATCAGCTTATTAAACAAATTCTGGAAAATACTGTATTTCATTTCGGGGAGTATTACTTTGAAATAAAATAGTTTTAAAAAATTTCGACTTTTCTCAAGAAGTTAGCAATCACTCTTTCAAACAAAAACTTAAAAAGGTCATTTTTTTGTTAGATGATATATCTATATTCTTTTAGTTTTTTTTTGTTTTTTTTTTAACAGTATGTTAAACACTGCATTAATAAAATTTATAATTTAACAATTTGTAAATAGTTGTTTAACACATTTGTTAAAAACTGTATAACGCATCCATGTATTTATAACGGAACCTTTTGTCTTCTTTTCTTTAAATTTATTTATGTTATCAATTCTTAATTCTTAATTATTTTTTATCTTCAAGTATATTAATTATATATTCCTAAAGAAAGTTTATTTATTTATTTAGAGAATATTTTATTAATACGAAATGTTAACATGTAAACATTTTAGCGGTTCTTGACGACAAAACCTTACGGTCTTCGAGTTCCTGCGTTCTTTTATTTCTTAATAACAATCATGTATATATATATATATATATATATATATATATATATATATATATATATATATATATATATATATATATATATATATATATTATATATATATATGTATATATATATATATATATATATATATATATATATATATATATATATATATATATATAGATTGTTAACGAGTATTTATTAAATCACAAAGTTGTAAAATTAAAGATTTTAAATACCGAATCAAGTCGTCTTTCATTTGTCGCTATATATATATATATATATATATATATATATATATATATATATATATATATATATATATATATATATATATATATATATATATATATATACATATATATTTATATATATATATATATATATATATATTATATATATATATATATATATATATATATATATATATATATATATATATATATATATATATATATATATATATAATTTTCTGTGCCATAAACCTATAACCTTATTTTCAAGAGTAATAAAAATTAGTTTTATTCTGATTAATTTTCAAAAGAGATACCCACAACACAAATCATATATAAGTAGTATTTGCAGGCAGCAATTCGCAATTAGAATGAAGCCTAGTCTTAGTCTTAAGCCTAGACTTTTCTAGAACCTTTCAGAACTTTCTAGAATTTTTCGGAATGTTCTGGATATTTTTAGAAATCTCTAAAACTTTCTAGAATTTTCTGGAGTCTTCTAGAAGTTTATGGAAATTTTTTTTTTTTTTTTTTTTAATTTGCATTCACTTCCAACAAGGCTGCAAGCAACCACTATTAAGTTGGGAGTTACTAGGAAAAAAAAAAGAACAGAGTTATAGAGCAAGGAAACGGTTGACAGAAGACTTGAAATGTTGAAGGTTGTATGAGTCAGGAAAACATGAAGATTAGAGAGAGTTCCAAAGGATTGAAGTGCGGGGAAAAAAACTAGATGAATAAAAGTTTTTAGAGCATGCAAGGACAGATACAGTAAACGAATGAGACTTAGCTGAATGACGAGTAAAACGAGAATGAATTTTAGTTGATGGAACTAGAGATGATAACTCCTTGGAGCAGTGATCATGATAGTATTTTTAGAAAAAAGAAAGAGATGCAACTTTATGATGATGGGAAAGAGGCTCAAGCTTAGCAGATAGTCCAAGTCCAACAACATTTACAATGCGTTTTTGGACCTTGTCAAGAAGAGAAAGTGAATTGTTAGAAGAACCAGCCCAAATATGACAACAGTATTCCATACAGGGACGAATAAGAGATTTGTAGAGGTAGAGAATGGAATCAGAAGTAAGGAAATGGCGAGTACGATAAAGAGAAGCAACCTTAGCAGAAGCTAATTTAGCAATCGATTGTATATATAGTTTCCATGAAAGGTCAGTAGTAAGCGTTAATCCAAGAAGATGTAAAGAGGAGGACTCAGTAAGAGGATTGCCATTCATTAATATAGGAATGTTGACCATATTACGGTAGTTGTTTGCATTAAGCAATTGGGTTTTTTTAGAGTTGAAATTCACAAGCCACTGTGAACCCCAATCTATTACTGAAGTGAGATCAGATTCAAGATCAGCTGCTTATTCTAGGCGATCGAAAAGAGAAGACTTTTTGTCAAGACAGGAGTATAAAGTTGAGTCATCAGCAAAAAGAGCTACTTTAGATGAAAGGTTGTCAGGAAGATCGTTTATGTAGATAAGAAACAAAACAGGGCCCAGGATGGAACCTTGGGGAACCCCAGAAGTTTCTGGAAATAAAGAAGAGTTTTGGCCTTCAAAGATGACTTTAATAAACCGGTTAGAAAGAAATGATTTGATAATCTCAAAAACTTTCCCAGAAACACCATATGAAGCAAGCCTATGGAGAAGACCAGCATGCCAAACTCCGTCAAAAGCTTTAGACATGTCGAAAGCAATAGCCTCACCGCCTCCATCTAATGCACGATAAAATCTTTCAGTGACAGCAGTTAGCAAGTCGGCCGTAGAGCGAGAGGATCGAAAACCGTATTGATTGTCTGACAGCAGTTTATTTGACTCAAGATGAGATGCGAGGAATTAGCATGATTTAAGCTGCCTGATTAAGTAACGCTAATTATATATGAATCTGTATTTGCCAGATGGCAGTCAAACAATATAGAAGTACAATAATAGCACTTATATTTGTTATTATTGTCTTTCAGAAATATATTCAAGTACTATCTTCAATCATAATATCCTACAAGAAAAGTGTTTCCACTAATGATAGAAACAAAACTATTTGTCATTTGCTTTCAAAGATTAAAAGCAAACGACAGGTTGAGTATACAACTGGGAAGGCTGCTAGTTCATAAACTATCCATCCAAAAGATGAAAAATGTCTTGATACTTACTTCAACAACAGTAGCGGCAACAGCAATATCGTCAATTTCCAAATCCGAGTTTGAAACAGAATGTTAAGAGTCTGAAAATTTAGAACTGTCCACAAAAGCAAAAACTACAACAAAACCAAAACTGCAATCTAATTAGTAATATTTTCAAAGTTATCAATCAGCAAAGCAGTAACCGTTTGTTGTCAATTATCTTAAGATGGGATCAACATATAGACACTTTTACAGCCTGTTTTGTTCAGATCAACTGTTAAATAAGCTGAAAAAAAAATTAGTAGAAAGTTCCTTGCAATTTTAGAGTTAAACTAAAAATGTTATTTTAGTTTAACTCTAAATTATTTTAATTTGCTGCAGTTGCGACAGTTGATTTGCCATTTTATTTAATTCCCAGTTCAATTTAAGTTGATACGCTGCGAAATGTTTGATATTCTTTCAAAAATTTTTGGCTTGAGAGACAAAACCCGTTAAAAACATGGATTTTTCAGTGAAGCATTTTATTTTTCCGAATGAAATATTTCCGTAACATAGTCAAATAGGCTCAGATAAAATTTTGAATAAATCATTGAAGCGCCGCATTTTGACTACTTATAACCTCCATTGTTTTTACTTATAACCTTCATTGTACTTATAACCTCCATCTTCTTTAAACTATTTTCCTCTTTTGCATGAAAAAAGAAACGTATGTAACAAATAAAAAGAGAAAAAAAAACTGTGCTGACTGTAGCAGTTGCTACAGCCTGGATCCGCTCCTGAATTAGTAGAAAATCACATTTGTTACTTTTATATTAAGAAAAGATTTTAATTCAAAAAGCAACATACACAAGCTACGCTTTCAATTTATCTTTTCTCAAGTTTGCTAGTAAGGTTATTTGCTATTAGGTTGGGTTCTGTTTAGAAACTTCTGCTTTTAATTTTATCAAACAGTTTTTAATAAGTTTTAAGTTTGATGAATTAGTTGCACTTTCTCGAAGCCATATCTTGATAATTTTTGCTTGACAGCAAGTTCTCTTACCGTGCATGAACAAATCAAACTTCGAAAACTAATTCAAAGCCAATTAAACACATTGCTCTTAAAAAAATTTAATTAATTTTTGGAATGACAGTCCAACATTGTGTAAACCTATACGAACGTAGGGAAACCAATCCATAACTGCCAGCCATAGTTTAACAGAAGGTGCAATTTACCGGTATATAAAGCGTGAGTAAGGTAAACATAAGTTTAGTGTGTTGCAAAATAAGCCACAATAAAATAAACATCGTTTGAAAATATAATTGGCAGATTTGGGGTCAATTACGTTTGATTAAATACATATACAAATACGTTAATTCTAGATTTCCAAATACAAATTTAAATGAAATATATGCAATTAGCATTTTCCAATTAAAAATACAAATATTGTATTGTAATTTAGGTTAAGCAAAAATATTAAAGATTTTCAGACAAAACTGATAAAATGGTCTACTATATAAAAGAATGAAAACAAATCTTCAAACAAACATCCCTTAAAAACAAAAATTTAATTAATTTTAGTGATAAAAATGAAAAAATACAACAACGAATCACTTGATATTTTCCAAAAAAGCACTGGTTAACTTAGTTTATAAAACTGAAAAAACATTCTAATCAAATACAAAAACAAATATTTAGGAAAATCTTTTAACAAATACAATATAAATACAAATACACCAAATTAGCCCATTTTAACCCAATATATATATACAAATTAACAACGCATTTGACCTCAACCCTGATAATAGATCACCACACCTTAACAGTCCAACCCTTGTGCTCTTTGTAAAATTTGAGACCACTGCAAAAATATTTTTTGAGAAAGACGTGGTTTTAACGCAGCACGCCTCGATCAAAAATTAAAGTCCTTGACAAAGCGTCTTCAAACTGCGCGTAGCCTAAGATTCACACTTGGAAATATTTGAGTTAGAGTTTGTGAGCTTGAAAATTGGTCTTCCACATAATTTTCTTAGATTGATGCCATCTGTTGACTTGATGCGCTAAATGATGTCACAATCAGATATCTTAGGCACCTTCAACGTACAGCAAATCATTCGATCAGAATTCCTATTATGCTTCAAAATTTGTATACTTGTGCGCGTTTAGTAAGTGATGTTGAACCCATAATTTAAGATAATATTTTTATAAATACATAATGTCGGGGATAGTGCAAAACCGCGTAACTAGCATTGGATAATACCGCGTATCTACAGTACATTTTTTTTACTGGAGAAGTTTAAAACTTTATATATTTTTTATTTTAACTGATTTTGGGTTCATTATAGTAATAAGAGTATTATTCATGTTTTTTGCAATCTCTACAATAAATATTTGGTGTTAATATTAATAATATCCAAATATAGTAGCCAATGCTAGTTACGCGGATTTGCACTATCCCCGACGATATAATTTTAATAAATATAAAAAATATAAGATATTTTTCTATCGGTTGATAACTACTTAATCACTCATGCAAAGCGCGATTGCTTATTATGTTGCCAATACGGATATTATGCATTTATAACTATTTATCTAAATAGTAATAAGTGATTATAAGTAATTATCTAAATAATTATTCATAGACAACATAAATATTTAAATAAAAGAGTTCTGTAACATTTTGTGCCACATTAAACTTAAGATTCAAAACATTTATCTAATTAACAAAAAAGTTACCTTTTAACTTTCTTTTAATTATTAAAAAGTTACACATTGTGTACAACTTGGTAATAACACAGAAATCGATATAAAATGAAATTAATATCTAGAAGAAGCATTTGTATAGAAATTAATAAATAACACTGAAAAAATCTATTTTAAGTGAGTCTAGCGTGAATTTATTGATTAAAAAGACAAAATTTATTGATTAAAAAGACACGTTACAATATTTAAATCATAAATACAAAATAGTCAATATTATTTATTCTTTATTTTTTGATGTTTGAGTGTTTGAAAACATACTTTTTAAACCACAATCGTTTGTTTACTATCTGATTTATTAGTCTTGTATATTATAATTAGTTTGTATAACTTATTTTTAACAGTTTCCTACTTACTAAAAAATACAACAATTTAATTGAAACTTGCTTGTTGTGGCCTGTTTTCGTTAATTTTGCATTTGAGTAGATTAAAAAAACAAGTTTAAACGACAACAAAAAAACAATACAATTTCTATAAGCAAAGCTCATTAATGATTTTTATTTTAAATAAAAAAGTTCTATAATTTAATAATTTTTATAATATTTCTTTAATAAAGATAACTTCATAATTATGAAGGAATTATTACGTCAAAACGTAATAACTTTAAAGTTAAGCAAGTTCAGTGTTATTACGATAATAAAAATTATTTTTTTAAATAATTTTTTTAGATGTTCATGGTTTAAAGCTAGATGTTGTTTTTCTAATGATTGATTCTCAGTCTAATGCTAACTTTCATAGACAGCTTTTGAAAAGTTTACCCAATCTTTTAAGCGACGAAGATACGATAATTCTTAATGGACACACTATAGTTGGTGATGGTACGACAGCACAGCTAGCTGCAATTTTTATAGGTTTGGTTATTAACTGTACTAAACATACTGTTTACTTTTTTAACTTTTTAAATTGGTATCATATTCTAAAACAACAAGTTTTTAATAAAAAATATTAAAATATTGTTTTTAAGTAAAATCTGCATTTGGTTAAGCATATATATTATCTATTTGATCAGTTTTGATCAGCTGGTTATATAAATAGATTATATAAATAGATGTATATATATATATATATACATATATATATATATATATATATATATATATATATATATATATATATATATATATATATATATATATATATTATATATATATATACAGAGGCGATTCTACAAATAAAATGAAGGAAGATTGGGGGGATGTATCTTTAAAAAGTACCATCTAAATTCATCAAAAAATTGACTTTAACTTGAAAACCATTTCTTTGGGGAGGGAGGGGGTTAAGGGGGTGGGAGATCAAACAAAGACTTTAAAGGTTTATATATATATATATATATATATATATATATATATATATATATATATATATATATATATATATATATATATATATATATATATATATATATATATATATATATATATATATATATATATATATATATATACACAAAATAGTTGTTTCACTATTTAAGGTGAACATGAAAAAGATCTTCCTGAAACAAGACGTAGTATGCCTAATTCAGGTACATGTGATCAGTTCAACTTTATATTTAAGGATTTACACAAAGCTGGTTATGTCACAATGTTTAGCGAAAGCGATCCGAACTTGAGTTCTTTTCATTATCGCCTAAATGGTTTTAATAATGCGCCCACTTCTTGGTATCTTCGTCCATTTTGGTTAGCTCAAGATTCCTCACCTAAATGTGACTTTGAATATAGCAATATACTACTCAAAACGTTTACTGAAATTTATGAAGATTTACCAAAGGTGTCACTTGTTGTAAACTCTGCTGTAGCGCACAACGATTTTAATGCTTTACAATCAGTAGATGACGACATTCTTGAAATGATAAATTATTTTAAATCTCCTTTAAGAATAAATCATACAATTTTCATAATATTTGGAGATCACGGCGCACGTATTGGTGAGTTTCGTTCAATAACACAAGGAAAGCTAGAAGAAAGATTACCCTTTTTTTCAATAACCTTACCTCCTGTTTTTAAATATAAATACCCGAAGATGTTTTCAGCTTTAAAGAAAAATTCGAACGTCTTAACAAATCACTTTGATATTTATGCATCACTCCAACATATACTTAGTTACCCAGATTATCCAAATAAAAAAATGATTGGCCAAAGCTTGTTTACTGTAATTGATCCTAATATTAGAACTTGTAAAAGTTCTGGCGTTGCTGATCATTGGTGTCCTTGTTTAAATTATAAAAAAGTTTCAGTATCAGAAAAAAAAGTAATAATGGTTGCGCATGCTGTAGTTGATTACATTAACAGTCTAATAAATAATAATAAAAAAGCAAAATTACTTTGTTTCAAGCAAACCTTAGGAACAATTTTATCAGCTGGTATTAAAGTTCCTAAAAATGAAGTTAGTCAGTTTATAAAAACAAATAAAAACAAAAATTGCGATGCTTGCGACATTGTTTACGACAATACGATTGTTTCTAAACAATATTACGAAATTGTCTTTACAGTAGATCCTAGTAATGGAGTTTTTGAAGCCAATGCTGATATTTCCCCAGATAACTCAATAATTGTTGATCCAAATATTAGTCGAATAAATCTTTATGGTAACCAACCACGTTGTATTATGGATGAATATCCTCATTTACGTCCGTACTGTTATTGCAAATGACAAAATACTATTTGGCTATTATTTAAAAGTTTTTTATTTTTAGGATTCCATTTTCCCCAATCTTGTAAAAAAATAGTTTTATAAAAATAAGCAGGAGGTCCAAAAAGATACGGATTACTAAATTCAATACAATCTTTTCTTAAAATAGCCTCTATGTGGGTTGTAAATAAAATAAAGTTGTTACAAACACAATGTACATCTCCAATAAAATATAAAGGATTTTTATAAATATATACAAATTATTACATTACTAAAAGCATTTACATTATTACAAACTAAATAGATCTATTTAATAGATATCAAATATATTGATAATATAAGTTTAATAGAGTAATTAAAACTTTACTAGTGAACAATTATGTTATGTACCTCCACTTGTATACTTATGTACCACCACTTGTATACTTATGTACCACCACTTGTATACTTATGTATCACCACTTGTATACTTATGTACCACTATATGTATATCAATTTTACTAGTGGATATTTATCTTTTTTATAATTACTAAAAAAAATACTTTTTGTGGCTGGTGAGCCACAAATTTTTTCAATAAACACCACAGCGACAAAACGGACATTAGGCTATCCCGCTGGAGGGTGGTTACGGCGCGCAACACACACGTTTATTCGGAAGATCTACAATGCACATCGGATCAGCGCTCAGTGACTATTCGCTCTTTTGGCTAAGAGTGAAGGCTTGTAGCTCTATGGTTACTAGTTTGTGCATTCGATCAATCAAATTTAATTCTGTAGATCTTACATCAGGCTCTGATGTGCTAGTCTATAAGTCCAAAAAGTAAGTGTGTTTAACTTTTTATTCACCTGATTTGAAAGTGGAAGATTAAATAACGAGACCATACCAGACGACCAAACAAAACTTAGTAACTCATCACTTCATCACACCTTAGACATAAACAGTCTCAAATACCAGCAAATCATATTTTGTTTTTTGCTTAATATCATCTATGCACATAGTGACTAGAGCGTTAATTTGTTTTTTGAAAAAACCAAAAATTTATTTTCTAATCAACTTTTCTATGGCTTGAGGTACAGACAACAAACCTTTCATAGTCTTACAGAAGTGTTCTCAAGAATTTTCTTTAATTCCGTCTAAACTATTTAATAAGAGTTGACTGAATCCTGTCTTCCAGCGAGCCGGAAAACCATATCAGTGGTTTTCCATCGTTCAACTACCATCAGATCAGTCTTCTCTCTATCATTAACAAGGTCTTTAAATCTTCAAATCAAAAAATTCTAAAATCCTAAATCTGATCTTTCTTCTGTAACAAATTGGGGCTTGAAGTGGCTTGTGGTCTTTAACTCCAACAAAACTCAGTTATTTACTGCAAACAATTTTTTTTATAACAATATTTGCAAGGTTATGTAATTTTTTCTTTTCATATTCATTTTCAGCAAGTACTAATAATAGGTAATCAAATTCTTTATTTACAAATTACAGAGCCAGTTGAATTTTTCAGCTCTATGGGTAAATCTTTTAAATATTCCTTCTAAGATTTTTGGATTGTGGTTTGAGTTGTGCTTAGCCCAAATACGAATAATGTGATACTCCATAACTTGGTGTGCCAATTGTTGAAACTACGAATCGCATAGGTATGATTTTTTTTGACTTGTGCGCTTTAATTACACTAGGCATACGTGACGATATTATGTTGCTTTGGTATAGAATTTCATATTCTTTTTTGGTAGATCGTCCTTTTTTATTCAATTTTGATAGATTGTAGTTTTATGTTCCATTTTGAGTTCTAATTTTATTAGCATGTTTAATGGTCTTTAATTATCTTTGTTTTGCCATTTTCTTAGCGAATTTTTGTGGAGATAAAAGATTCTAACGTTTCGAAATGTTACTCAGTCAAAATCATGTCATCAAATATTTAATCGAACTGGAAGATAAAAACAAAAGATTAAATTTTTTAGATATCCATCAATCAAAAAGGCAGTTATTTCAAAATGTTATTATCAAAAATTGCAATGTTTAAAACTTTTCCTACTGTAGATTCCAAAAACATTTTTTACCTTTTTCCGTAAAAAAACAAAAAGACCTAAAAAAAAAGTTGTGGTTCTTTCCCTTGCAACGCTTATGGCAACGTCAAAATATGAGATTTTTTATACTAGTTTTACCAAATACAAGCATTCAAACCAATAGCTGCTTCTTTTGTATTATTATTTCTTTGTTTAAATGACATATTCTGAAAGAAAAACGTTGTGGTTTAGAGTTTTTTTAATGTTATTTATCATGTTTTAAACAAGGAAATCAATTAGAACAATGTCAGATGTAAGCACATTGTTTTTAAAAGTCTACGACCTTAAGTGATTTATCCATAGAGCTATATCAATTTGCTCTGAAGAGTTTGTCAATAAATAAATCAATTTTCGAATAGTTGTATTTGCTGAAAATGGATATGTAAAGAAAAAATTACAAATCCTTTCAAGTTTGTTAAAAATGTTAAAAAATATATAAATATGTTAAAAAAAAACGACACTCAAATAATGAAATAGTTTTATCTAACAATAAAGCAACCAATCATATCACTATAATTTTTGCTCGCAACCAAAGAAAACTACTATCAAACAGCTATTCCGGTGCATACCTAATATTAGGTATGCATTCTATATAGAATGCGAGTGTAAACAAAAATACGAGAATGCAAGTGAAACAAAAGTTAATATAGTAATAAAAACAAAATAGGGCATCCTAAAAATAAATATCCATGCAATATAAAATAAGGGCAAATAAAAACGTTGAAAATAAAACCTAAAAAATTCGAAATAAAATTTCAAGAATTAATTACTATAATACACTAATGGAAATGCCAAAAAAAACTTGAAGCATAGTTAAAGAAATTATTGGCAAAAATATAATGAAATAAGTATTCAGTCAAAAAACTGTTAGTAGATGGTAAAATAATATACGATATATATAAATCAATAAAAGCAAAAAAATCTAAACAGCTTCTTTCATAATATTACTCTTAAACTTTGAAAAAATTCTTTAGATTTCTTCATCGAATATTTTTTATTTAAAAACGTATGATAAGCTCATGGACAAATATAAACTAGATACTAATGAGTTGCAATCTGCGCTAGATAGTCTTAAAAATAACACAAGGGCAGGTTTTGATAACATCAGCATAAATCAGTTGTAAAATCAGTTTTTCATATTATATAAACCTCTTTCCATAAATTTTTTAATCTTTCTTTTCATGCTGGTACATTTCCAGAAATATTGAAAATTGCACGAGTTTTGCCTATTTTTAAGTCTGGTGATAACACGGAATCTTTAAATTACAGACCAATATCAATTTTACCATGCTTTACTTGTTTCTTGAACGAATAACAGACTAAACAGCTACATAACAGTAAATAACATATTTCACGGACCGAGCTATTAACTCATGTAGCCATTACCTTTGATGGTGACTGTTTTCTATAAGGAGTCTTTATTGATCTGTCTAAAGCCTTTTCACAATCAACCGTGTCATTGTTTTGAAAAAACATGAACATTATGTAATAAAAACAATAATTTACTATGGTTTAAAGAATACTTATCAAACAGACAGCAATACATTGAATATGAAGTTAAAACGACAAAAAGTATAAGTAAAAGTAATAACATGTGGAATTCCTCAAGGCTCAATATTAGGAACGTTACTGTTTTCTCTTTGTATAAATGATCTGTCTCTTACCTCAAACTTATTAAATTTTGTTTTGCTTTGCGGATAACTCCAATCTGTTTAATTCTCATCGGGATATTAAAACCCTTTTTAAAGTAGTTTATGAAGATGTAAACAAATGGTTTATTTATAATAGACTCTCACTTAACGTTAACAAAACTAAATTTATTCTATTTCACAAACTAACTAGAAAAGGAAACTTTTCTTTAAAATTACCTTAAAATTAATGGTATAAATATTAGAAGACAAACATTTTTAAACTTGTTAGGTGTTATTTTAGACGGAAACTCATCATAGATGAATCATATAAGAATTCTTGAAAAAATTTTTTTTTCAATAAACATTGCAATGATGTATAAAGCAAAACCATTTAAAGATATTAGGTCTTATATGTTTTGCTTTTATACATAGTTATTTGTTATTACCGATTGTAATCCTAGGATTTCGGGATCCTTTTCAGCCTTTTTTTATAATCCTGAAATCCCGGGATTATCTAATATCAATCCCGCGGTTCCCTATAAGATTAAACAAAAAAAAAAGCGTAATAAAAAAATATATAAAAATAACAACAGTTTATGCGTCTCAACAAAATAGTTTAAAAATAGTATAAAATTGTATAAAATAATTGTATTTTCAGTTGTACAATAAAAAAGTTATCGAAAAGGTTTATTTAGAGAAAAAAAAGTAACTTAGCTTAAAAATATTTTTTACGAGATAAGAAAAGCCAGACAACGATGTGTATATTGCCAAACTGCAAGGAGGTTTTAAAAATCAGTGGTGGTTCAACATAAGGACTTTGTTGCGTTAGTTCGCTAACGCAGCAGCCAGTATGCTTCTTTACTTTATATTTAACTGAACGCGTAGCAGGTCTCGCTCTCTTACGCTTCCTTCTTCACCACGAGCTGAGCAAGTTTGCGCGATTCAAGTTTGCAATTATAAATAACGAGACGTATCTTCAAGAAATATATATTTAAGTAATCTTATCTAATTGAATTAATGCTAGAGTCCCTTCCAAACTCTTTAGAGTTCATATCCAAATGTTGTCGGGGCATAATGTGAAAGTCAAAAGTCCAACTCAGCCTAATATTACCAAAGAAAGCACATCAGATAAACGACCAAAAAAGAATTCTAAACCACTAACAGAATCCATTTCCGTTTATAAAAGAGAAGATTAAACACTTCATGCTAAACATGCTTGCCTAATAGCGTGTGATGGGCTTTCATTTAATGTGACTTTTTATTAAACAAATTTACTCATCTCTCTAACTTCTATGGGATTCAGAAATCTACCAACGTCAATAAAAACGTAATTATGTAGAAAAGTACAGCAAAAAAATAATACGAGGTTAATTAATCAAATTAAAGCGCGCAGGAAAAAGGAATTCGGGGTAGGAGAGAGATTTTCTTAGATTTTCTTTTTTGATAAATGGATGTTGCTTTGAAATTGTCGCTATTTGAATATCAACATTCATGTACAAAATTATCAGTTCTAGAGTTTAAGTTTTGTGCGAATAACAGGTTCAATGCCAATAAAAAAATACGTTGAAAAAATCTTTAAGAACAAAATGTGGTGTACCCCAAGGTTCCATTCTTGCTTCTCTTTTGTTTCTTATTTATAAAAACAATCTTCCGAATGCCTCTAATATCTTTAAAAATTTAATGTTTACCGACGACGACACAAACTTATTTTACTCAGCAAAGACAATCGAAAACCTTTTTGAAAAAACAAATGCTAAACTAAATAAAATTAATATATAGTTTAAATCCAATAAACTGTCACTCAA